TATATAAATAAAACCGATAAATTATAGCATCTTAAGCATTTATAGCATCTATCTCTCTATATATATGTATATACATATATATGTTTGAACGACTTTATCAATGATTTTATTAATCCATATTTGTTTTTTTTTTCAGAAGAATTTTTCGAATTTCGTCAAGCATCGATGTGAGGCAGACAGAGGAGAGCTGTTCTCGAATTTTGTCCGATGCTGGTTCATTGCTTTAGATGATGTGAGCACCGGGAAGGATCACATTTTACCAATGCTTTTACTCGTTATGGACACTCTAAAAATCGAAAATCTCGCTTGTGAACCCGCGTTGACTTTACAGGATGCTATTACCGATCAGGTTATCAGTGTTTAACGTTTGTAATCTTCTGGGGAACTCCCGCTGGGGCTTTGCCAACGTGTGGTTGATTTTGGCAAAATCATCTCTCTTGGGCTTCGTCTGGCTTCCTCTATTTTTCAAATAGTAATACGTGATTTCGTTCTAGTTAGAAATATTTCTTGCAGCCTGAATTCTATTCTAAATAATAAAATTTTTTAATTTTGGAAGAAGAAAAAGCTAGTAGTGCTAAGATATTAGTAAAAACTTGAAATGTATCATAACACAGCAGTAAAAAATGTTTCAGTCTCTTAAACCGTATACATTTCTTACCATTACCACAATTGAACCTCGTCAGTACGATGAATGTGGTAATTAGTATGAATTTGAGTTTAATTTAAATAGTTATGTTACAGAAATAAGTATAGGTAAAGTAAAGATAAAAGTTGAGTGTGTAAGCATGAAGTAAAGTTGATTATGGGGATAAAACCCGGCCACTGTGAGAACGAAAAGGACCACATGAACAGCATCGGCACGGATAAGATGAGTTCAGACTGGAGATAAGCAAGTGGATGCGTGTAGCAACTGCATGTAGATGAGGATGGAGGTTCCTCAGTCGGATAATCCGGGCCATTTTTATTTAATTCGAATAATTAAAATCCTTAAATCCTTAAAAAAATCCGCCTTCATCCCTAAATCCCCCTTTTCCTTAAATCCTTTAAAAATCCCACTTCATCCTTAAGTCCTTCTTCTTAAATCCTTAAATCTTTTAAAAATCCCTCTTAATATGTTATTGGATAATATTGAATTATATTTGCATATTTGTTTGCGTTAATTTATTGAGCTTTATCTACGCATTCAATGATTTTGATTTCTTTTTTCGAATTTTTTTTATTTCTGGTCTTTTATACGTCTGTTTTTTATTTTCTTTTTTATTCACTTTCTTCTGCTTGTTAGTTGTTTTTGACTATTTTTGAAACTTGTAGACGATATTCAGGTAAACAAAATGAGTGGCACTGATATAAAAGCATTTTGCGTATATATCGCTGAAAAATTTGTGGATGGGCAATCATCGTCTAAAAGGTTTTTTTTTTTGTTTTTTTTTGTGGTACTTCAAAGTATTTTTTTTTTGATTGAAATATCTTGAAGCTTTTTTGATTTAACCGTGACATGTTGGTGCATATAATTCAATCAAATAGTAAGCATTGAACAGCGATATGTGTGGAGACCTCAGACCTCGTAAAACTGTGCCCTTGGGGGGAAGAGGGGTGTTAGAATATCTTAGCAGCATCACTAAAACTGGGAACTCGCATCATTTTCTTGATCGGTTCTGGTATTTTTTGGTTTTTCAGTTAGAATTTGATTGGATTTCTTCAGGTTTCTTTTTTTTTTTTTAAATTCGATTGTGGCACCTCGAGGGAAAGGGGG